TATCCCCTGAACATACCCTTCAAAGGTAATGAAAATAATCCCCCTTGGCCTTGACTGGGCCACCCAAGAGAGAGGGCCTTCTAGAAGAGGCCCATATCATGGCATTATAGTGAGGGGATGAGAATACTTCTGGGTTTTTGCAATGTTAAGTCAGCTCTTTAACTAAGATCAACATTCCTTCCCCTTCATTCTTATATGCACCTGAAATGCAAGTTAACCCATTTCACTGGTTTCTTCTTATGGAGCAACCAATTTTCACATTAAAAAAGTACCCTATTTTTTCAGACTGCCAATAAGTATGTAATCCTTTTTTAAATTATTTTTACTCCAGAATCTTTTTTTGCCTTTTTATATGCTTCTCCCTTAATTCTTGTATAACATCTTCATGGTGATACATTACAGATTACAGTACGTTTATTGACACATGGCCATGATACAGCACACCAGTTTCTTTTCCCCTTTCTCCAGGGTCAGACTTGGCCAGACTTAACACATAATCAAGTACCAGTTCTGGGGACCTTTTGTCCTCCTTACTTTAAGTATGAGCTATCACATCAGGAGGTGTAATGTTGCTGGACAAAGATTACAGAGCCTTTAAAATATAAAGTTTATCCTCAGGGATAGTGTGCCATATCATTAGTGGTATGGTCAAGACCCTCCAGCTCCATAATCCATCTCTGCACATTTATTCTTTTCTTTTCCTTTTTGCTGGAGACTGAAAAACACCGAATGACCATTTCAAATTTGCATGTGGTCAGAGGTCCAACATAAAATAGGTTATTTTTCATTTAGTTCATGTTTTCAGCTTTCGTGCAGGATTCTGCTTATGGCATGTACACATCATTCTCGTCCTAAGACAGTATATTATTGTTATATTGTATTTTGTCTGCTTTTAGGTGGCTTCAGAATTTATTACTCATCAACGACAAAAACACCTTCCCCGTTTCAACACTACATTTCTAAGTTTTATTTTAGCATACTTGGAGCTGTCGATCATGTCCGCAAAGACTTCGGGCTTTACGGCCAACGCATGACGCATTTCCCAGGAACTTAACGAGACCCCCACTTTGCTACAGCTAGATGAGAAAACCAAGCATCAGGAGGGAGAGTTTTGTTCCCCCAGTTCGTCTTCCACTAACCGTAGGATGAGTAACCAGCCAGTTCTCTCGAAGCGCCCATTTCCCGGGCTTTGGGGCTTCCTTCTCCTGACCAAATAATCCGGGGCGTCCAGCGACCGAACCCCCGTCCTCCTTTGCTCCGTCTCCAGAGTCGCTCTCCGGCGCTTCCATTCCCAGTTCGCGTGTCATTCAGCTTCGTTCCGCTTGGTGTTTCAACAAAATAGTTCCTCCGCCAAACTTTCAAACGAGCTTTAGAGTTCCTCCTTTCAGCAAGCAAATGTGTCATTCCCAAGAATAAGATTTTTTTTCTTATCTGTCATTTTTTAATTTCCTCTTGCAAACTCCGATTGAAAAAAAAAACTAACCAGATTAAACCTTCTTTAACAGCCCTTGATTTGCAAGACACTCGTATTTTTAGAGCACAACACAGAATAAGATGAATGAGATAACAGGAGAGCCAGTTTGGTCTAGTGCAGTGTTTCTCAACCTCGGCAACTTGAAGACGTGTGGACTTCAACTCCCAGAGTTCCCCAGCCAGCCAGGCTGGCTGGGG